ATATATATATATATATATAAAAGCCGTTATTGTTGACTTTTATTAGACGAGTGAGATCCAATAACGACTATATTTTCAATTTTAATTGAATTTTAATCTCTCAAACATGCTCTAAATATGTCATTAAAAAAAGAGAGATATTAATTATTTGTTTCTTATATAGTTCATTCAATTACTAAATATTTTTATAAGAAAATGAGATATATTAATTATTTATTTGTTGCATCGTTCATTTTAATTACTGAATATGTCCTTAAGAAAAAGAAATATATTAATTATACGTGTATTGTATCATTCATTTTAATTACCAAATATATCCTTAAAGGAAATATATTAATTATTTATTCGTTACATCGTTCATTTCAATTAGCAAATATGTCCGTAAAAAAGAAATATATTAATTGAAACATCGTTCATTTCACGGCCTTAGGCCTTGTATGGGAGGGATTAAAATCGGATTAAAATTGAAAATATAGCCGTTATTGTTGACTTTTATTAGATGGGTGGGGCCCAACAACGGTCATATTTTCAATTTTAATTGGATTTTAATTACTCCCGAACGGGGCCTAAATATGTCCTTAAATTAGATATATCAATTATTTGTTTGTGGCATCATTCATTTCATTACTAAATAATATATTCTTTAATTTATATTTCATGTTTTGGATAGATAAACTGAATCAATTATTATAATTACAAGTTTTCTTTTCCATCTTTCTAAAAAATTCCCCAAATTATTTCTAAAAGATATATGTCTTTTTGACTCTTTTCACTGTACGTGGCTGTGTACACGTCTCTCCCTCTCTCTCCTCTCTTTCTAGCCCTGTTCATATTTCGATATCTTATTTCCTTTCCTTTTGACCCGTCTTACTTTCCTCGAATTTTAAGGTAATCTACTCTGTGTTTGTATAGTCTCTTATCATTTTCTTGAATTAGAGGTGAAAAATAAAGAACCCGTCGAGGAAAAAACAGCAAAAAAAGTGATTTTCTTTTTTTTTTTCAAAAAAAGTTTCCAAAAAGAAGATGACCCCACTTTGAAACACCCCTGGACTGTCGACACCTGTTTTGTGATCATACTTCATACTTATCATTTTAACAGGAAAATAAAGACTGCAGCTTTTTGTTGTTTTTTATATAGGGAGGTGTAGAGAGAGTATTGTAAAATGAAAGAAGCAGCGAACCTAGAATTGTATTTTGAGAATCTGATGGTTGAGAATATTGGGAGTAAGAGTGGTGGTGAAATGGGTGGAGGGGTGATTATAAGTGAGTGGAAAGACATACCTGTGGAGCTTTTGCTGAGGATTTTGTCTCTATTGGATGATCAGACGGTGATTGTAGCATCAGGGGTTTGTCATGGATGGAGAGATGCAATTTCTTGGGGCATCACCCGTCTTTCCCTTTCTTGGTATATTCATATGTTCTAACCCCTTTTTAAAATTTTGTCAATATTTTCTTGAATGTTCTATGATTGTTTGTTTGTTCCTGTTTGTTTCTGGGTTTTTGGTAAAACTACTGTCTTTCTGTTTTTCATGTTTTAAAGTGAGAAATATAGCTGTTTCTTCGATGAAATAGGCTGATGATCATGAGTTAGTTGTTTTATGTTGAGTCCAATTGGAAAAAAAAAATAAAAAAAAAAAATTGAATGATCTGTGTTTGTCACATTTGTTAGTAAGTATATGCAAACTTGTTGAGTTTGTATCACTTGTTTGGTTCTTAAGTGTTAGTAATAGCCAATGAGTTTGATTCAGCATAATTGCAATACGTTGCACTAGCTTATTTCAAATGTTCTTGATGTTGACAGTTTGTTGAGAGGACATGTTTGTTAGGGCTACTTATTTGCTATAATTCTTGAATGCTTTGTGATTATTTATATTTGTTAAATCTGTGTAGAAAATAAGAAACCTCTTTAACCAAATTATGGGTGATATAAGAGGGTTTGTAATTGATTTTCCTCATTGTTGCTCTGTTTTTTGTCCATTCAGAAATGGTATTTGATGGCATGAGGGCATCAAGATGCAGAATGTCTTTATATTTGAAGCTAAAACATTTAAATATTCTTTAGAAATCTGAAATTTTAAAGATGATGCATAGACATTTCTGCATTTTCTTCACCTTGGAACTTCGGGTGTTTCCAAACAATATTATCTTGGGAAGGGGAGAAGTATAATTTGTTTTTGTAGAACATGTGTTCATCACTGTGGATACTCCAAATTCAAGAAAACAATCTATTTTTCCAAAATTATTTGAGGAAGGTGAACTTTTCGACCTGACTTAGATATGAAGGGTGTGGCGATATAATTATTGAGACAATTGTATTTTCTTGAAAACATGTTAGTTGCAATGTTTATTATGTTATAACAGCAGTGGAGGATCAACCTATATTGGTTGGAATTCGATGCAAATGATGGCTTTGTTGATTGAAAAAGATTACACGTGATAATTGGTTTGTTAAGACTTATCCTTTGTTCAGATTTGACTGCACCACTATTGTGTTATCCAAATCTTCATATGATGCCCTAATTTCTTGGATTGCTAACTGGATTCTTTCTCCTAGGTGCAAGAAGAACATGAATGAGCTGGTTCTATCAATTGTTCCAAAATTGCCAAAACTGCAGGTTTTAATTCTCCGACAAGATACACCACAGCTTCAGGATGACGCTGTTGAAACAATTGCTAGTTACTGCCATGACCTTCAGGAGCTGGATCTCAGCAAAAGTTTTAGGCTTACTGATCGTTCCTTGTATGCGATAGCACGTGGTTGCCCAAATCTTATCAAGCTGAATATCAGTGGTTGTCCGGCCTTCAGTGATACTGCTCTTGCATGCCTATCCAGTTTTTGCAGAAAATTGAAAATCTTAAATCTGTGTGGATGCGTTAAGACTGCATCGGATAGGGCATTGAAGGTATTAAAACTAGAGGCCTGGCTGTTAATCATATGGTTTCTCCATATATAAGACGGTTTGACAACAATAACAACAAACTAAGCCTTGTTCTCAATAAATTTACGTTGACTACATGAATCCCTCTTTGCTTTTCTGCTCTATTCATTGCTAGATATTTAGTGGGAGATCTAAAAATTAGATCTTTAGCAGTATGCAAGCCATTTTAGTTAGGTCCTCCCCTCCTAACTTGCTTGAACTTTCTGTGCCGAAATAGTTTCACTCTTATGAACGAGGCCTCTTTACGTCGATGAAAAACATGACCCTACCATCAAATTGTTCTTTATATTTAAGAGGTGGTTCATTAAATCATTTTAACTCCATTATGCAGGCCATTGGATACAATTGCCATCAATTGCAGTCTTTGAACCTTGGATGGTGTGACCGTGTTGGTGATGAAGGGGTCAAGAGTTTAGCATACGGTTGCCCTGATCTCAGAGCTCTTGATTTGTGCGGCTGTGTTCTTATAACAGGTATTCTCTTGTTTTAATTCATTGGCTTAAGTTCTACTATATTAAGGAATAAAAAATAGATTTGTGTAAAGATAATCAAGAAGCATGAAGATTTATGGGACCTGAGATATAAGCTTGCAATGTGATTGTTGTGGAACAATTCACATGCTTTATGGTGATGAATGTTATAACATAAGCCACGTGCTAGTATTTCAGGAAAGAGAGGGATGAAAGAAAGAATTGAATGGAAAATTATCTTTTGTTACGTCATACATCATTTATCCTTTAGGTGCTTGTCATGTTAAATACTGATAGGTCACTGTTTAGTGACTTAAACCTACCGTGTTAATCTAAAAGCGCGTGCTTGGTATGTGCTACGCAGTATTAGACATGACAAGATAGTATTCTTCTTTAATATTGTCCAAATCCATTTTACCAAACATGACAAACGTGTGATATTTGACGGTTGAGTTGTAAGGTTACAAAAGTTGGCTTTCTCTGGGTTGAAATATTGATAAGATATTGTAGGTTATTGTTAGTTGCAGAGTTTTGGAACGTCTTCTCTTTGTTCATTTAACGTGAAATGTTGATATATTTCAGATTATTTCCTTTTTTTTTCGTCGGATTTGTGTTCTGACTGAGGGACATTATTTCAGATGAGAGTGTAATTGCGTTGGCAAACCATTGCCTTCATCTAAGATCCCTTGGCTTATACTACTGCCAGAATATCACGGATAGAGCAATGTATTCCCTGGCACAGAGTCGAGTGAAGAACAAGCACGAGGTGTGGGAGTCTGTGAAGAAGGGATACAAGGAGGAAGGGCTTACAAATCTGAACATCAGTCAGTGCACAGCATTGACACCTCCGGCAGTTCAGCTATTATGCGATTCGTTTCCTGCCCTTCATACATGCTCTGGTCGACATTCACTGATTACAAGTGGCTGCCTGAATTTAACGTCTGTGCATTGTGCATGCGCTGTCCAAGCACACCGTGCAGCCAGTTCATTACCTTTAGCTCATTGAGTTGAGAATCGTGGAAAATCCCAAGTTTCCATTTGCAGGGTGAAGAGAGAAGTTCGGCCTTGTGTATAATGCATCTGTGTGTCTTTGCCAATGCTCTGGCCGTCCAAGTACAAAAATAAAATTGTTTGTTTGTTTAGAGACTTAAATTGACTATGTAACTTCACACACTTCTGAATCTATGAAATGTTTTCGAATTGTCTTATTTTTTGTTCTCATGTTGAGTTGCATGTATTATTGTTTACACGCTGAGCCCCTATTTGGTATAAGATCCTTTAAAACTCTTTATTAACCGTACATTCTTCTAATAAAATAAATTTGCATGTTAAATTTTTCTAATTTTTTAACCATAAATTTTATAAGAGCATGTTTGATTAGCTTTATTTTCGGTGGAAAATATCATTTTTCCACTCAAATTCTTACTTCTTGAATGTTTGATTGACAATTTTTTCCATGGAAAATATTTTCCAACTTTTGGTCATGTAACCATATTTTCCTAAAAAACAAGGAAAATATTTTTCTTTAAGGATGGGTGGTTTTTATTTTTCAGGTAATTCACTTTTCTTTCTCTCTCATCTATTTGCTCTCTCTCATATTACCTAACGATAAGAAATGGATAAATATAATATTTTTTAGTTTGAAAACTAAATCAATCAAACATATTTAATTAATAATTTTCATACAAATAAGTTATCGGCAATTAAATTGTCTAGAATTTATATTTTTACATACATATTTCATGCTCGCAATCAAACGCATCCTAAAAGAAATCGTTTTTCACAAAATCCATTCTCAAAAAATCTAGGCCCTAAAACAGATCAGAAAGTTAATAGAATAAAGTAGACATTAATTTGCTGTATTTTCTTAGTTCCTGGTATGCGGATGTTAGGAGAGAGATTATGATTTTGAATTGAGATCCATCTGCTGGATGAAAAAGGAAAGGTTTTGCTCAACTGAATGCAATGGTTTATTGACATTTCTAGCAAATGTTTACCGAAGTGCCAATGTGATGAGCTAAAAGTACAAACCAAATTCCAGTTCTTACAAATGATTTTCATATACTCATCTTCCTTTGTAGACAATTTCTTCATCGTCTACATCAAATGCTGGGTTACAGAGACACCTGAAGAGCCTGCCAATGCCCTGCCACAGAGGAATACAACAAATTATTAAAGCAATCACGTTTGTCTGTACTTAAGTCAAACTTACTTTTTTAGAATGTATATCATAATGAGTCTATTTTAGTCGCTATATTACATATGTGCAACAACAAAGAGATGAGATTTACCTGTGTAACTAAAGGAGCTCGATAATTTAGTGTTCTTGGTGTATCTTCTTCGTCGCTACTATCATCACTACTTTCTTCAGAATCTTCTAAAACATTTTTCTTTTTCGATGTTCCAGCATTTTGTGTGTGCTTTTCACGCTGAAAACGAAGCACCAATTTTTAAGTGTATAATTAGAAAAATTCAAACCATATCTCTAGGCAAAATATTCATCAGTCTACAGATGACACGCACATACCTGAAATAGTTTTCCAAGAAGTCTCAAAGACACTGCACGCATTTTAAGTTCTTCCTTCCTTACATCGTTTTCATGTAGAACCTGTAAACACGTCAATAAGTTTGATATTACAATAAGGGCATGTTTGGACGCAGTATAATAGTCAAGATTTTAACTTTTCCTAGTTTAATCCCGTTTAGTACGGTTCAGTCATACTGATCATGCCACGAGTAATCCAGTACTGCGACAAAGGTGCAAGAAGAAATCAAAAGCTGGAAAGATGAGAATCGCAGCATGATGGAGAAATACCATTTGACAGACATGTAACAGAGTTACTTCAATGTCTGCCACATTCAGTTTCCATAGTGAATTCATAAGCGTGTCCTTATTTAGTCTTAAATGTGATTCGACACCATTTTCAAGGCCACTACCGTCCATCTTGAATTGGCGCCTGACGTCTTCTTGAAGTTGGAGCAACTGAAAAGCACCTGGAGTCGATTTATTTGATCAACTTAGCCAAAAAACAAAAAAAGAACAAAAGAAAACTCGAAAACTGGAGAAAATGAATTGAGGATATCGTCTTGAGATAGCAGACTACCTTTTGCTGCAGTTAATTGTGACTTCCAGAAGTGGCCTTTGTTACGAACCCACTCAGCCATAAAAGGTACGCCTAAATAGATCGCTCTCTTTCCGAGCTGCTGTGCTGCCTGTCTTGTGTATATGTACCCAATTGTATGCAAAATATCAGCTCCAAAGGCTGTAAATAACTACAAGTGAGAAGTTCCAGCTTTCTTAAAATTAGAGCAGATAAGACCTATTTATACTAAGATCAAGACAAAAAAATAAACTTATCCTTCTTTCTCATTATTATGCCCCCCATTCGAGTACTTTACTTGAGCAGAAAATTTGAAAAACAAATAGAGAACATAGGCTTTAAGTCGAATGCCAGACTCACTCGCATGTGAAAGCCTCTCTGCTTCAGCTTCAGCGTGCTTTAAGAATCCTTCTTTGTCACCTCGAATATATTGGTAAAGAAAATCTTTTAGTTTCCTAGCAAGCTTTTCTTCCCTTTCTCTTTGAACAGCCTTCATTAGATTGCATCATATTAATTGAAGACGAAGATGTGAAATATAAACTCTACAGATATATGCAAGGTTTTGTGAAGAAAATAACATTATTGTGCACTGAAATTTGAAGTAAAAAGAACCCGACTTTCAAGTAAAAGTGAAAAATTTGTCATTTAAGCCTACTATTTGAAGATAATATTCCCAAACTATGCAACATACTTGCCTTAAGTCTATCATGTACTTTGTCAGGATTGTCACTTTCAATAGCTAATTCAGTAGAAGCCATTGATGCCACGGCTAAATGTCCGATATAGTCTTCAAAAAGTTCACTTCCAAAAAGAAGAGCAAAAACAGTAGTGGGATCGAGCATTGTTTCCCTAAAGAAGAGATACATGAACATGAGATGCACTCTCAAAAGAACTAAAAATAAAAACATTTTAGGCGATTATTTATGGAAAACTTCAAATACTGAGACATGGATGAACTTACTTAGATATACAGTGCTTTCCATTTCGATTATATGCATCTCTTTGCACTGGATCACTCAAAACTTGATATGCTTCGCCCAATTCCTGATTATACCAACAAACTCTTTGTGATGAGAAAGACGATAAATTTACAAAAATCATAGAGATGGAACAAAAGTTTCTCTTTATCAAGAAATTTTCCAATGATTCTAGTTTAGTTCGTACTGTAACTATTAACCAGACCAGCAGATAAAGATAAATTAGAAGTAAAGGGAATCGCCTGAAATCTTTCAGCTGCCTGAGGATCATTTGGGTTCTTATCTGGATGAACTTGCCTTGCCTGTACCACCAAAAGAAATGCTTAGAAAATCAGTAACACATAATTAACAAAAGGAGAAAAAGCTGAGAAAGAATAGAAATTAAGATCCATAGTGAGCCAATTCATCCCTTGCAACAAAAAATGGTGATGAAAGAAAAATTTCCATATGTTTTATTCACCAAATTTTCAAACAATTAAAGGTTCAAGTCCACATATTAACATCGACGGTACTTTGTAAAAGTTTCATATACAGTAATGGATATGAATACACAGTATAGTGACAAGAATTGAACTTCTTTTTCCTCTTCAATACTGTCAAGTAGTATGGGATTAGAATACAATTTCCACGAAGAAACAGCAAAATAATGAATGTAACAGAGCTGAATTTGGCAGCATGGAATTGAGAACTTACAATTCTACCAGAATTTCTCCATCCAAATTTGCATCTCATACATTCTAATTTCCAAGTGAAAACATAGGATGATTAAAAATTACTCCATAGTTTTACATATGACCCAAAAAATGGATATACTTAAAACAGTCTTTTTTTGGGGTTTCCAATAAACTTGTAAGTCGAATGTATGAATCTTTTCCCCTTGGTTCATTTCTAGGTCTTAATTATAATTAAAAATAATAATAAAAAAAAAAGGTATATATCTATATATGTTCTTATAAAAATGAACAATATCCATCGGTAAATCCAAACCTTAAGATAATAAGCCTTGCGAATTTCCTCCTCAGATGCAGAAGACCCAACTCCAAGAATGTCATAATATTCAGTTTCTTTCGCCATTTTTGTTTGATTTTCAAGTTTTTGAGAGCTCAATTGACTCGTGCAAAACAACTCCAAGAAAGTGTAAACCTGAAAGAAAGAAAGAAAAGAGAAGAGAAGTGTGTGGAGGAGAAGATGAGACCCCGCCACGAGACTAAAATGACTTTCCAGTTCTGAATTTGCATTAAAATATTTGTTTGTGAAAGCTTTTTCGCGGGAGAAAACAGTATTATAAACTGTCACTTTGAGGCGATGATCATTTTGTGTGCGCTGTAATATCAATCATCTTTTCAGAATTCCTTTTTGAATTCAAAATTAAGAAAATGAGAAAATGAAAAAAAATTAATAAATTAAGCCCATGTTCAACAACCATTATTTGGGTAAAATGAAGTTATGAATAGTGAATTTTTAAGAATGTGTGATTAAAAAGTAGGAAAAAATTTTGAATTTACATGCAGAATATTTTATTGTGTAAATATGTAGTTGAAAATAAGTACGTAGAAAAAAGAGTTCTGAAATAATGGTTGTCAAACAGGGCAAAGGATTAATGACATTTTTCTATTGAGAAGTTTCTCGTGTAGTTTGTTTGATCTAAATTTTCTGATAATAAATTTTGTAAAAGTGATTTTATTTTTATAAAAAACTATTTCTTAAAATATATACATATAAAAATTGAATCCACGTTGCAAACTTATTTTTATTGAAAAAGTGATTGAAAATAAATAATAAAAAATATATACAATACAGGATTGTATAAAATAACGCGTGTATGTTTAAGTTCGACAAACTTGGACCAAACAAGATTTAAGAAAAATAATGAACGATTCGGGCCATAATATTCATTCATATCTAGCCAAGGTAACTACATGGTACAT